TTTGCGCCGGAGGTACCCTCCCGACACCACTTTCAATTGGGGGGGGGAACTCACTTTTAAAACTTTTCTGCTTGATACATCCTCTGGATCATTGTCGGTCTATTCATAGACCTCTTGCAGCCTCGTTATTCCGTCGATCTCTTCTGCTTGTCCCGGTTGGCATCGACTATGCTCAGTGTAAAACTGAGCCACACAGTGGATGGACCCTTTGAGGCAAGAGAGCACCTCAATTCTCCGGCTTTGTGCCATCAAAGAGGTCGCCCCCCCAGTGCCCCCCGGCCTGGAGCCTTTTACCAAGGCTCACCTGGGGGTGTCACTTAAGGTGGCACCCCTCCGGACCACTGGTGCGCAGATCGCCTCCCCAGAGGTAGAGGAGAGCGACCGCCATCGCCGAGCCACAGATCGGAAGTCCAGCTGGACCAACCCTCTTGAAGATCCCAGTGTACAGGCACTTTGGCATTAGGTTGGTATGGATGACCTCCAGAGGCATCTGGATTGGGGCGGATTAGCAGTGCTGTTGTTGTTGGACCTGTCAGCAACATTCTAAACAGTCGACCATCAGCTACTGATCCACTGCATCGACACTGGAGTTGACACTGCCTTGCAATGGCTTGTCTCCTTTCTCTCAGCTACTGATCCACTGCCTCATCGACACTGGAGTTGACACTGCCGTGCAATGGCTTGTCTCCTTTCTCCAAGGCCGGGGGGAAAGGGTGGCAGTGGGGGAACAGCTATCCTGAAGGAACCCACTGGATTGTTGAGTACCTCAAAGGGCGGTGCTATCCCCGATGCTATTTAATATCTATATGCACCCCTTTGTCCAGTTTGCACAGAGGCATGGGCTGGGATGTCACCAGTATGCAGATGACACCCAGCTCTATCTGTTGTTGGGTGGCCAGTCTGACTCTAAACCGGAAGATCTAGACCGGGCATTACAAGACATTGCTGGATGGTTTAGACTGAGCCGACTGAAATTGAAGCCAATGAAGATGGAGGTCCTGTGCCTGAGCTGGGGTGGGCCGAGGGTAGGGATCTGACCTTCAATGGGGCTCCATTGGTGCCAGCACCAGAGGTTAGGAGCTTGGGAGTGTTCTTGGATGCCTCCTTAACAATGGAGGTCCAGGTAGCAGCCATTGCCAAGTCAGCCTTTTATCATCTTCATCTGATCAGACAGTTGGTTCCCTTCCTTGAACACAACGACTTGGCAACAGTGATCCATGCGATGGTCATCTCGAGATTGGACTACTGTAATGCTCTCTACATGGGGCTGCCCTTGTTGCAAATCTGGAAGCTACAGCTAGTGCAAAATGCTGTGGCCAAGCTCCTAATGGGCCTCCTTCTGCGGGTGCACATTCAAACTGTGCTGAAAGCATTGCACTGGCTCCTGATAGCATACCAAATTTGCTTCAAGGTGCTGGTACTTACCTTTAAAGCCCTTTATGGTCAGGGCCTCTGGGGACAGCAGTTGTAATAAAGAGAGACTGAGTGAAAAAGCTGGTTGGATCAAACTCCAACGCCACCCTTATAGCAGTAAGCACAGATTCATATAATCCTATGGTACTACATTTCCTTCACAGCCTACTTCAAAGACCTGCACACTTAAATAGTTTGAATATATACTAGTTGCAGTAATGGTGTGTGTGTGTGCACTAGGTATGTAACCTGCTTTATATGAGAAAGCGGACCCCACTTAACAATGCTTGTTTATTTGTGGTGCTTTTAATTTGCCTTTGCACTGGAATGTCTAATAGAGAAGCCACTTCAAAAGAGACTGTGAACATCTCCTGTGGGAAGGGAGGGGGAAAACGGGGTGGTGAGAGAATCATCCAGATGAATTATATAAGGCGGAAACAAAGCTGAGACAAAAACACATTTCCAGGAAGAATGGAGGTCCTGAGGAGAAAAACAAAGGGAGACTGTGTCCTGAATGGAAACACAGAGGTAAGTAAGGAAATCCAGCACTGTGACCACTTCTTGAAATGCAGGGAGTAACAAGGGGATAGGAGGGAAACATATTGCCTCCTAGAACTGAGTGTGAGAGGATTTTCCGTGCTCTTATAATTTCATCAAAGTTCACAAATATTCTATCCATTCTGGGAGAGGAAAGGATGGAGCTGCGGTCTTGTAGTGTTTTTATCATGAACTTTTAATAGTTCTTTTTATCTTTTTGTGCCTTAATTCCTTCTAATCTATTAGCCACTTTGGGAGTTTAGGATGAAAGGAGGGATGTACATTTAGACTCGTTCATTCATTCAATGGTTCATTCACAAACCTGCTATTGTGGTTTGATAAACCCAGATATAGTGAAAAGATATTGTCTTCATTCCCACCTCCCATTGCCAGCAGCAAGGATTGCTGGATCCCCCTGACCATACAGCAACACTTGATAGAGACAACTTGCAATCCCTTAGCAACCCCCAGGACTTATGTCACTAGTTGTGGATTGATCTCAGAAATAGGAACCTGTTAGAACAGACAGAGAAGGGTCTTTTCCATCATTGCTACCTGATGATCATCTGTGTAAAGACCACAGGTTTGGGTCCAAGTAGCTTCTCTGATGTCATAACAGGAGGACTGCCCAAAGAGGCTATTTGACTGCCAAACAAGGATATGCTGGGCATCATAAGACATATGTGGACAAATGCCACATGAGTTGGGGGCTGAGTGAAAAAGCTGGCTTGATTCAGTCCGCAGTGTCTACCACTGAGCCATGGCACTTCTTAAGCTCTGTCTTCCCCATCTACCACCATCTCCTTTAGTGCCTGGTCTTTACATACAGTGATTTTCACCACTCTAAAGTGCAGTTTATTTGGCCTTTGCAGGTTTGAGCTACCAGCATGGGAAAAGCAGAACAAGAAAATGAAACAACTGTCACTGAATTCCTTCTTCTGGGCTTTGGGGATCTTGGGGATCAAGAGTTGCTTCTGTTTTTGCTCTTCTTAGTGATCTACATTGTAACCATGGTGGGGAATATCCTCATTCTGGTGTTGGTTGTGGTTGACCGTCACCTTCACACCCCCATGTATTTCTTCTTGGGCAACTTGTCCTGCTTGGAGACCTGCTACAGCTCCAATATCCTTCCCGTGATGCTGGCTAATCTGTTTCATGGGGGCCCAGGAACCATTTCTGTCATGGGCTGCATGACACAGTATTACTTCTTCGGTTTCTTGGCAGCTTCAGAATGTTATCTCCTTGCAGCAATGTCTTATGATAGATACGTGGCAATCTGTAAGCCACTGCTCTATACAGTACTTATGAATGGTAAGATGTGCCTCCAGCTAGTAGCTGGATCTTGGGTTAGTGGTTCCATGGCTATAAACATAACTATATATTTAATGCACCAACTGACCTTCTGTGGTCCCTCTGAAATCGACCATTTCTTTTGTGACTTTAATCCCATATTGAAGCTGTCTTGCAGTGACACACATGCCATTAAACTTCTAACTTTCTTCCTAGCTGCTGTGTGTTCCCTCCCCCCATTTCTGTTGACCCTGACATCGTATGGCTACATCATCTCTGCCATTGTCAGCATCCCATCTACCTCTGGCAGGCAAAAGGCCTTTTCCACCTGCTCCTCTCACCTTATTGTGGTGTCCATTTTCTATGGCACCATCATGATTGTTTACATGTTGCCCAAAACAGACCTCAACAAAGTCTTCTCCCTTTTCTATACAGTCCTAACTCCCTTGTCCAACCCCCTGATATATAGCTTGAGAAACAGGGAGGTCAAAGTGGCCTTCAGAAAGGCTCTAGCTAAGTTTTGTGCATTTGAACGAATATAAGGAGTGTGTTTGCATACTTATAGTCCAATTCCTCTCTTATGCTGCTAGGAATAGCATTTTCATTTGAGTGGGTTGGGTCCAACCGGCTTTCTTGCTAGAAAAAAGAATGGGGGGCATTCCATCACCAAAAAAGGGTGTACTGGGGATCATGGGACGTGCATGGACAAAGACATGTGGAATATAGGTTGTAATAAGGAAGGGAATTGGGCAGGACATAGTGAAGTTCCTGGCTGGATCCAACCTAACAGTTTTTAAAATTATTTTTGCTTTCCTGCTTTCTAAATGGTGCATCGGGTTTCAACAACCCTTTGTACTATTATGTATTTTGCTGCATAAAGGAATCATTTGACCTACCAGTGAACAGATTTATTTATTGTTTGCCTGTTTCCAGCTTTGTGTTGAAATCTTGAGAGGTGAGAATTTTTCAGTTGTAACTTTTGCTTTTTATATCTAAATCCCAGACAACTGTGATCTGCCCTGAGTCAGCTTGTGGGGAGGGCAGGATATAAATTGAATAAAAGAAATAAACAATGAAAAAGATTACTGGATGCATTTGCCTTTTGTCATTGATTTTTCTACAATATTTCTGTCCGTCTCCCCTCTTGGCTAGCTTCAGTTGGTTTCATTGGTTTTGAACAGATAGACTTAATGCTGTGACTTTTATTTGCACAGTATTTTCTGTTTCTTTGCACCAAAACTCCCCCCTAAAATTTATGCATTTTTCAGCATAGAGAGCCAATGTTTTATAGTGGTTAGAGTGCTTGGGCTAGTGGCTCTCTCTCTCGGAGAGAAAACTCTCATAGAGTTTCCTCCTCCTGGGGATGAAGCAAGATATAAATTAATTAAAAAACATATGTATGCATCAGTAAATCAGCATTATAGGCTGCGGTCACACGCAACATTAGCCACGCAAGAGATACGGAAGACAAGCGGAGTTTCCGGTCGTGATCTCACCAGCACATCTGGGAAGCGTAGCACTTCCGTGGCACAAGTGAGGCTTCCTGCCGAAAAAGCGCAGCAAAAAACTAGTACCTTGGAGGTACTAGTTTCCAGAAACTGCGGGGCAAGGGCGGGCGTCTGATCGCGTTTCCGGTGGTATCCGGCGCCCGCCCATGTCCCCTTGCGGAAAAGGGTTTTTTTTTTCACGTCTCCGTGGATGCGCACACGCACCCAACGGAGCATGCGCATTCGTAGTGTACACAAAAAAAGAAAACCAGTTCACCGCGCCGCGCACTTCTTCATTGCGCGCAGGCGTGTGTTGTGATCGGCACCTCTCCCTTGCCATGGTACCTCCACAGTACCTCCACAGAACCTCCACAGTAGGTCTGATCGCTTTACTGCATGTTAGTTTGCCCCGGGGCAAACAGCCACACTTCTCCTCTGCAGTTTCCTGCCTGTGTGACAGGGGCCATACATTATTAGATAAATGAATAATTGATTAATATAGTGTGACTGCACTGCATGTATTACAGGGGAAACCCAACCTTTTCCCTGCATTTATTAAAGAGACCATGTGCTAAATAACTGGGCAAGTCATCTTGGAAAATGCAAACATACCTCATCCATAATCATGTACCGTGCTCAGTTCAACACCTATAACAACTTGAAAGAGATAATCATGGTCATTTGTTCATTTGGACATACATGCAGTTTGTGCAGAAATAATTATATCCAGTTAGTTACATTACATGGCCTCAGGTAAGACACATTTTTGTAATTGTCCCAGAGTGATGTCTAACAAGCGTACTAACATCAACAGTGTTCCAGTTAAGAGCTGTTAAGAGCCACATCGTATAAAGAAAACATTTTTAAAATGTGTTATAGGTGGCATTGGACTCCAGATAAGATTGCTAAATGTTATAAAAATGTCTCAGGGAATTGCTGGAGATGCAATAAAAATGTCAGATCATACTATCATATATGGTGGAGATGCAAGAAGGTTTGCAAGTTTTGGAAAATGATAAAACAGATAATATTGGAGATAACTGAAATAGATTTGAAGTTAGAACCAGAAGTGTATTTACTTAATATGTTACCGGAGGGGATTAAACATAATGATCAAGGCATGATATTATATGTCCTCATAGTATCCAGAATACTTGTAGCTAAATCGTGAAAATCAGATAAAATTCCAAGTAGAGAAGAATTAACAATGAAAATTCTAGAAATAAAAGAAATGGACAAACTAAACATGATAGTAGCAGGGAAGGAAGAAAGTGTATTCCAAAAAAGATGGCAAAAGTTAGATAGATGGAGGGGGGGAAATGTGTAATGTAAATTCCAAAATATGTAAATGATTATGTTATGTATGTTTTATATAATGGAAAATGATAAATAAACTATATATAAATAAACAGTGTCCCAGTTATTGACGATGGTAGGGACAGCTTTAGCTTATGCACTTGATGGATGGGAATGTGAGAGCTCTTCATGTTACATCTTGAAACCAGAGTGAAACTGAGATTCAAAAGAATCTTCAAGGTTGACGTGCTTTGCAGCCCTTCGTCTAAAGTGCCACCTAAAAAAGATGCATTCCAAGGAATTTTAGCTTGACAGAGGGTGAGTCTATCCATGGCAGTTCACCATGATGACTCAAATGGAACCTCTAGTTTCAGTAGCAGTGTATCTCTGAACAGTTGCTGGGAACAACAGCAGAAAAAACCAAGAACGGATCACAGGTATCCATTTAGGAAATGCAACAAACAAGTAAACACTGTGATATAAATGACTAAGGCCCCTGCCACACGGGGGGAAATTGCTGCGGGCAAAGTGTGGCTTTTGAAAGCCGCACCAAAAGAGACATGCGGCGGCGGGATCACACAGATCCTGTGAGCCGCCGCGCAGCTGCTCCCCAGCACGATCAGATGCTGGGGAGAAAGCCATGGACGGAAGCATAAGGCTGCTGGCTGTGCATGTGTGCGCATGCTTCCAAACACTAGACACGCCAAGCGGGCTGAACAAAATCTTCTCTCTCTTCTACACAGTCTTAACACCTCTAACCAACCCTCTCATATACACTCTGACCTCTTTATTTCTCAGAGTGAGTCAAAATTTGGCAGTGCCTGTTAATTAAGTGATTCAAAGTGATACTTTGGTGAGGGCAAGAAAAAGAAGAGCTGGTTTTATATCCCACTCTTCAGTACCTAAAAGAGTCTCAGAGTGGCTTACAATTGCCTTCCTCTCCCTACAAGAGACACCCTGTGAGGTAGATGGGACTGAGAGAGTTCTGAAAAGCTGTGACTGACCCAAGGTCACCCAGCTGGCTTCATGTGGAGGAATGGGGAATCAAACCTGGTTCTCCAGATTAGAGTCTGCCGCTCTTAACCACTGCACCAAGTTGGCGCTCAGAAGGTTCTAGGCTCAACTTCCAGCATCTTCAGTTAAAGGTTCAGTGATATGAAAGACCTCTACATGAGACCCTGGTGAGCTTCATTCAGTCAGAGTAGACTGAACTTGATAGACCAATGGTCTCACTCAGTATCATGCGTTCCTGTGTGTGCACTTTGCTGGAAGTAAGCCCCACTGAATAAAATGGTACTTTGGTACTTACTGCCAAGTAGACCCACTTAAGCTTGTTCCCTAAGACACCATCCCAGAGGAATTATTAGTTTGAAGAAGCAGGCTCCATACGAATGAGACCATTCTTCAGAGGTTCTCCCACTTTGCACTTCAGGTGTTGTCGTTTTAATAAATGGAAGATGGCATCTGAACCAGAATGTCCTTTGGGATCGATGGTTTTGATACTCTGAGATCCCCATAGACTCATATATTTTCAAGGAGGTATAATCAAGGCCCTTGGATTCTGAATTAGATGAAAAATTGGGTTAATACTGGACGGTGGCTATTGTGGTAACATTAAATGGAGATAGCTCCAGGAGGCCAGCCTAGTGTAGAGGTTAAGAGTGGTGGACTGTAATCTGGAAAACTGGGTTTGATTCCCCACTCCTCCACATGAAGCCTGCTGGGTGATGTTGGGCCAGTCAGAACTCTCTCAGCCCCACCTACCTCACAAGGTGCCTGTTGTGGGGAGAGGAAGGGACTGGGACTGTAAACTCGTTTGAAACTCCTTAAGGTAGAGAAAAGCAGGGTATAAAAACCAACTCTTCTTCAAATACAAAGTTAATAGAGTATTGGTAAATATGGCATAAAACATAACATCTAATGAATACTGTGAATCGCATTGTTTTGGGGACTGAGATTATCTATCATTTGAAAAAAATCTACAGAACTCAAATGTTTGCTTAATTCATCCACAGATGTTCATTATTTCTACTGGAGAGTATTCCCTCCTGCTTTGTGGCTCATACTAGATTTCTAGATCATCTGTGTTTTGAAACGGTGTAAAGAATTCCCAGTGTGATTGGTTTCTCTTGATACAGCACTCATAATTAAGTCAGTAAGTAATCTATGCACCAGGAGATTTTTTGATATTTGAAGGGGATCCAGCCAGTTTGTCTGCTGGTGAAAAAGAAAGGAGGGGGTCCCTTTGACCACTCACAATTACTCCACTGGGAATCATGAGACCTCCATGGTCAAAAGATATATGGGAAATGAGCTGTTGTAAAGAGAGGAACTGGGTCAAAAGGCAGACTGGATTATTCCCACTTAACTGCAGGCTTTGATCATGATTTGCAGTGTAATCCTAAATTGTAATTACATCCTAAATCCATTGAATTCAGTGGGCTTAGAAGGGTCTAACTGCTTAGGAAGGCACTATTAGTTATTTATAGCAACTCTACAGTTATTTATCTATCTTGAAACATAGCTGTTTAATATAGTTAACAATTGAGAGATTTTAGATGATTATTCACTTTGTTTAAGAACAATGTATATACTCATCTTTGTAGATGGAAAAAATGCCAGTGTGGTATAATGGTTAGACTAGTGTCAAAGTAAGTTCTGGGAGACCCAGGTTCAAATCCCCACTGTGCCATGGAAACTTGCTGGGGGACAATTACACACACTTAGCCTAACCTACCCAAGGGGTTGTTGTAAAGATGAAATGGAGGAAAGAACTAGGTAGGCTGCTTTGGGTCCCATTGGAGCAAAAGATGGGGCACAAATGAAGTAAGTAAATAAGTTTAAGCCACCTTTCCATAAAATATGTCCAAGTTGCAGCACATCAAGGTGATCAATATAATAAGCATGAAAACAATTGTTATAGTTACAGGTGGGGGACCTCAAGAAACTTGTGGGACTGGCAATCTGATTCACCCCACCTTTGTTTCCTCCCCTATCCCTCTGCTTCTCTGCCTCTTACACTTCCATCCCACCACCCCTTCTCTTACTCTCTCCCCCCCCCCCCCCTTCTCTTACTCTCTCCCCCTGGCCTGTCACCCTCTCTTACTGCCCCTACCCATCATTTTCTTTCTTTCTGTCCCTGCCTCATCACTCTCTCGTTCTGTCCCATCACTCTCTCGTTCTGCCTCTGTCCCCACTCACTCACCCTTTATGTTTCGCTATCTCCCCCGCTTTCCATTTTCCATTTTCCCACATTTTCTGCTTCTCCTCCCCCCCTAAAGCTTTATATTCTTTCCATCATATCGGGGGGGGGGGGGGGCAGCTCTGTGTTTTTTGCCGCGCATCTTTGGCGGGAAGTCTCGGTTGAGCCATGGGAGCGCTACGCTTCCCAGATGTGCCGGTGAGATTGCGCCCGGAAACTCCGCCTATCTTCTGTCTCTCTAGCATGGCTAATGTTCCATGTGACTGCAGCCATAGTTAACAATTGAGAGATTTTAGATGATTATTCACTTTGTTTAAGAACAATGTATATACTCATCTTTGTAGATGGAAAAAATGCCAGTGTGGTATAATGGTTAGACTAGTGTCAAAATAAGCTCTGGGAGACCCAGGTTCACATCCCCACTGTGCCATGGAAACTTGCTGAGGGACAATCACACACACTTAGCCTAACCTACCCCAAGGGGTTGTTGTAAAGATGAAATGGAGGAAAGAACTAGGTAGGCTGCTTTGGGTCCCATTGGAGCAAAAGATGGGGCACAAATGAAGTAAGTAAATAAGTTTAAGCCACCTTTCCATAAAATACGTCCAAGTTGCAGCACAACAAGGTGATCAATATAATAACCATGAAAACAATTGTTATAGTTACAAGTGGGGACCCTCCAGAAACTTGTGGGACTGGCAATCTGATTCACCCCACCTTTGTTTCCTCCCCTATCCCTCTGCTTCTCTGCCTCTTGCACTTCCATCCCACCACCCCTTCTCTTACTCTCTCCCCCTGGCCTGTCACTCTTTCTTACTGCCCCTACCCATCATTTTCTTTCTTTCTGTCCCTGCCTCATCACTCTCTCATTCTGTCCCATCACTCTCTCGTTCTACCTCTGTCCCCACTCACTCACCCTTTAAGTTTCCCCATCTCCCCCACTTTCAATTTTCCATTTTCCCACATTTTCTGCTTATCCTCCCCTCAAGCTTTATATTCTTTCCATCATATCATTCATTTCAGCTCTGTGCTTGCCCATTCATCACCCCACCCATATTGTGAGCTCTCTGCTCTTGTCCTGCTCTCCCCCATAGCATTGGCTCTCTGCTCTCATCTAGTTGCCCCCCCATTGCCAGCTCTCTGCTTTCATCTCACCTTCCACCCCTCATTGTCTGCTCTCCTCTTGCCTCCCCACCCTCATCGATGGCTCTCTGTTTGCCTGGGCCCCCATTGTTGGTGCAGCACTTGCTCACTCACTTCCCCAATCCTCAATAGGATTCTTGGCTGCTCCCCTCCATCCTTGGCACTGTGCTTGCTTTTGCAGCCAAAAGTGGAGCTTCTCCCAGCATTGGCCACCATGGTGGTTGAGTCCAGCCTCATTCCCGGCATCTTCTGCAGTGGTGGCCAGGGCCAGAGTTGCTTCCGGCATCCACCACCATTGCGGGTTAAGAGTTGGGATTTTTTTGTGAATTTAAGGGGTTCCCAAAGTTTGCAGAAAAATCTCGGTAACATCTGTGTGGTCCAGATCTGTGGACTTAGGTATCCAAAAGATGGGGCCACTCATCACTAATAGTATATAGATAATGGTTTGTAGTCTGCCTTTCTCTCTGAGACTCAAAATGGATTACAGAGTGTAAATCAAGTGCAATCAACAGGATGGGACATCCAATGAGCAATACAATAGGGGTGAGTTGGGCAGCAACAATAAACAACAAAAGTGGTGGCACCACACCTATTGGAATCTTGCAGGTCATTTACCTTAATCTCCTTTGGACACAGGATTTTAACCGGGGGGGGGGTCTTACAGGGTTTTTAACGGGGGGGGGGGGTGACTCTCTCTTTTAAAGCTGTTCTTATGGTCTGCCTCCAGCCTTACCATATCATTTGTGGAGGTGATTGTAGGCTGCTGAATGCTATTTTATGTCTTGTTTTGATATTGAACAATTTATGCTATTATATTTATGATTTTATTATATCGCTTTTACTTCATGAATCTCTTACAGTAGGGGTCTAGAGAAGCAGCATATCCATATGCTAAATAAATAATTCATTCATTTGTTAAGTATAGAAGAATGCAAATGGGAAGAGATTCCTCAAGTGTCCCAGCCTCTGCTGCTTTAGCTTCAGCACAAAAACTAGTTGTCAGTTAATGGAATAGGTGTAATATGAACCTTTGGCTTTACGTAATATGGCTTTACGTAGATTATGCCACAAAATTCTACTTAGGAGGTTTACAAGACACGCACCACAACAATTAACTGTCTTGCCTAGTGTGGTATTTATTGCCAAGAAACACTCTTCAATTTCTGAGGACATGTTGGGAATGAGCATGCCTAGTTCCCTGTTAAACTATCTTGAAATGGAAAGCAACCCATTGTACTGCACAATAAACATACTTGAGATTCAACTTCTGGTACCCTCTAGAGGTCATTAGGAGAACAGCTATCTTTGTAACAGCAGAAATTGATATATTGATTACTCGTTGAAAGACCAAAGTAAACAAAATGTGAGAGAAAATTGGATACCATTTTATAAATGGGTCAAAATAAACTGTGAAAAGGAAGATCATGAATAATGGATTATAGTTACTATAAGTTTAGGATAAATGTAATTTGAACTGTAAAGAATATGTACTTTTCCAGGATTGGATTAATTGTCTATAGCTTTAGAAATCATACAAATGAGAGGGGTATGGAAACAAAGCTTTAAGATGGGAATTGTATTGTAACAGCTATTATTGTACAATTGTATTGTAACAGCCGAGCCAGGAACTGAATAACAACTGAGCCCGCGGCCGGGGTGCTGGTAGTTTATCACCCCCCATACAAATAATGTGGCCCTAGTTAGGGATAAACAACTGTGTAAACCGCTCAGAGACCCTCCGGGGTCAGGGCGGTATATAAGTAAAAAATTAAATAAAAAAATAAATTATATAAGCTTGATGGAAAATTTTCCTTTATGTCTTATCCCCTTCCCCATGTTCTTCCCTTCCTAAAATGTCCTATATATTAGTGAAAATCAAATAAAAATTTAATTAAAAGAAAGGAGAACAGCCATCCCCCTAAAGGTTGTCATTTTACTTCCATACAGGGATGCTCCTGGATTTACATTTTGGGGTGGCAGCATTTCCATGGTACTGATGCAATACATTGCAAACATCTGGATTTCTTACAAAATTGTGAAGGGTGCACGGGCACAACTTGAAGATCATATGCAGCCATGCACAAACTGAAACAAAATGTCAGTAACTCCAGGGCTGGGATCGAAAATGTCATGATCTAAGGCTATATCATTAAGTTTGTGAGGGTGGATCCCAAGGAGTCTATTTTTGGCTGAGCCTTCGTAGTACTCCAGTGACTTCTGCTGAGATGGCTAAGGCCTTTCCATAAGATTTAGAGAGATGTTTCCACAGCTGATTTCCTTTCACGGTCTGAACAATACTGCACAGGTAATGGTAAGCTTGACCCTACTGGGTTCTACTTCCCTTGCAAGTTGCATTTAATGCTACACAAAAAATGCTAAACCCTAAAAAATTAATTTGGGAATAAAGAGGAACATCAGACTGCAGACGGAAGATTGACAGATGCATATATGTTATAATATTAAAAACAATATTAAGGTAAAGGTTTCTCTTGCTCGAAAGCTAGTCAAATCTGAATCTGGCAAAAAAAAAAAGGAGGAAAGGATAATAAGGGATGAATTTGAATCAACGTCACATTTCCCACACTCCCATGAAATCCCATTTGTACGAGAATAAAGATTCTGGACTTACGTTCTACCGGCAGTAACGCATTTGTACATAACTTTATGCTGCTGCCTTACATTTATTGAAAACCCTAATCCTGGCTTCTTTTACCTCTTTGTTTCTCAGGCTATATATGAGGGGATTGGCCAGGGGTGTCAAGACAGTGTAGAAGACAGAAAACACCTTATTCAGAGCACTAAGTGTGTTATTCTTGGGAAGCATGTAGACTGCCATTACAGTGCCGTAGAAAATGGTCACCACGGTGAGGTGAGAGGAGCAGGTGGAAAAGGCCTTCCGCCTTCCTGTGGTGGATGGAATTCTCAGAATGGTGACTACGATACATACGTAGGAAAGGAGGGGCAGCAGGAAGGGAGGCAAGGTAAACACTGCAGCCATGATGCTGGTGACCACTTCAGTCATATGGGTATCACTGCAGGACAGTTTCACCATAGGGGTGAAATCGCAAAAGAAATGGTCGATCTCATTGGGACCACAGAAAAATAGCTGGGAGATAAAATATATCACTATGTTGTTAGCAAGGAAGCCGCTGAACCAGGAACCAGCAGCTAGCTGAAGGCAAATTCGGCAGTTCATAAGGCTTCCATAATGCAGGGGTCTACATACCGCTAAGTACCGGTCATATGACATTGCCGTTAAAAGGTAACATTCTGTCCCCAGCAGGAAACCAAAAAAATAGTACTGAACAATGCATTCATTCACAGAAATGGCTTTCCCACCAGCAAAGAAAGTCACTAACATTCTGGGAAGGATGGTTGAGCTGTAGAAGAATTCCAAACAGGAGAGGTTACCCAGGAAGAAGTACATGGGGGTGTGAAGGTGCCGATCAGTTATAACAAGGGCGATGATGGAGAGATTTCCAATAAGGGTTACAATGTAGATTGTCAGGAACAAGAGGAAGAGAACTATTTGTGTTTCAGACTGATCTCCAAATCCCAAGAGCAGAAATTCCTGCATGACTGTTTGGTTTTCCGTTCCTTTCTTGGCCATGGCTAGTACATCGAATAGAAGTGAAACAAATTGTCACAAGATAAGATCAAACACTTTTCATTCCCAACATCTCAGGGTAAAAAAAAAAGAAGCTAATGCAGGGGGGAAGTGACTTTTGAAGGTAGCCTTTCATCTTCAGAGTCAAGCTCTAGGGAAGGGATGCTTCTGAAATGTTGCAGACCAATGGTCCATCAGTCCAGCATCCTCATACATACCGTGGCCAATTAGATGCCCCCAAAGACCTACAAGCAAGTCAAGAAGGGGGAAAATCTCTCCCTGTTGTTGTCCCCACACCAATATCCCAAGGGTTACTCCCTCCGAACAGAAGAGCTAGATTCAAGTCCAGTAGCACCTTAGAGGCCAATAAGACTTTGAGAGTATAAACTTTCAAGAGTCAAAGCACTCCTCCCATCTTCTGCCTGGGATAGAAGGACTCAGAGATCCCCATTGCTACTTTCACTGACAAAGGGAGCTTTGACTCTCAGAAGCTTATGCCCCAGATATTTGTTGGTGGCTCAAGTGGTTAAGTTGCTGAACTGCAGACTGGAAGGTCGGTAGTTCAGCAGTTTGAGACCCGAGTGCCGCATGGCGGAGTGAGCTCCCGTCTCTGGTCCCAACTCCTGCCAACCTAGCAGTCCGAAAGCAAGAAACTGCAAGTAGATAAATAGGTACCACTTTGGTGGGAAAGTAACAGCGTTCCGTGCGCCTTGGCAACTAGTTATGCTGGCCCCATTACCATGGAAACATCTTTGGACAGCGCTGGCTCTTCGGCTTGGAAACGGAGATGAGCACTGCATCCCTAGAGCAAGGGAAACCTTTACCCTAAAGGTTCTACTAGACTTAAATCTAGCTCTTCTACCACAGACCAATATGGCTACCCTCTGAAACTAGCTCTGAACATGAGGGTCCCATTTAGCCATTGTGATTAATACCTGCTGATGCACCTGCCGTTCATGAGTTACTATATTCCACTGTCCTGTCACTGTTTTACTGTAAATGTACTGTAATTTTAGGCATGTTTGTTACAGAAGAGTGGAACCACTTTGGGATCTACATATTGGAATAAAAACACCTGTTCAGCTTGTGTTTTCTGCATAATCAAGGAAGAGATAAATATGAATGTAGTACCTGTGTTTTAAAAGCAGGCAAGTTTTTTCTAAGTCATCGAAACAGGAAATAGACTGACAAATGAACCAGTGTTTGATTTGCTGACCTGTGTTTCTCTCTTTCAAATCATGAAGACAGAAGGAAGCTTTGCTCACCCAACAGGTGAAAATCTAACACTTCTCTCTGTACGTTGCATCTTTCTTTGCCACATTTTGTCTCCTTTCCAAGGAACAAGTGTTGATTCATAGCAGATCAAGAGCTGGGCTGCTGATTTTTATCTACTAATCTGAATTATTTATTTAGATAGTTACACCTTGATTTTCTTCCCAACGAAGACCCCACACGGCTTACAATATCATCCATTGTAGCCTAACATCAGCATCCATCCTATGGGGTAGGTGAGGCTGAGAGAGAGTGACTGGCTCAAGGTCACCCAGTGAGCTTCCACGACAGACTGGAAGATTTGAACCTGGGTCTCTCAGATCTTAGTCCAGCCCTCTAACAACTACACCACACTGGCTCTCAGACATTCATCAAAATACCCCTTCTCCATGCTATTTGGGCATTGCCAAGCAACAGTTAGGAGCTGCGGTGGCTCAAGTGGTTAAGACGCTGAACTGCAGGCTGTGGAAGGTCAGTAGTTCAGCAGTTCGAGACCCGGGTGCCGCATGACGGAGTGAGCTCCCGTCTCTAGTTCCAGCCCCTGCCAACCTAGCAGTTCAAAAGCAAGAAATTGCAAGTAGATAAATAGGTACCACTTCGGTGGGAAGGTAACAGCGTTCCGTGTGCCTTGGTGTTTAGTCATGCCGGCCACATGACCACAGAAACGTCTTTGGACAGTGCTGGCTCTTCGGCTTTGAAACGGAGATGAGCACCGCAACCCTAGCGTCAGATTCGACTGGCTTTCGAGCAAGGGAACCTTTACCTTTTTACTAAACAACAGTTAATAATTTAGAAGCACTATTAGCATTCCCAGAAGGATATCTTGCTCACCCAGTGCTTATGGGCCTCCCAGTTTCTGAGCACCAGTAATGGTACTCTCTCAGTGCATAGAAAAGTTACCATCCAAAGACAACCAGCTAAACGTTTGTAAACTCCCTTCCCTATCCACATATTTGACCTTGTGCTTGATTACTGAGATCCTTATATTTGTGTATGAAGATTCTCTCCCCTGATACCACTGGTCTGATTGCTGATGTCTGGGGAGTGACTGTTTCCATTCCACTTTCCATAATAATTGCTAGTTGGGTTAGCGGTTTCCTTGTGTGGCGTGAGCAAAGTCCACTGGTAAAAGCTATTGTGGGAAAACATTGATTGTCAGCCTGGCTGGGGGACTTGTTAATGAGAGTGTATAGTAGCAAAATATAGCTGCAAAGCTAGGAGAGCATGTTCAGGCAGTGTGTCTAGTGATAATACAGTAATATGCACAGGGGTCGTTTCGTAGAAAAAGAGCTAGGGGAACTCATTAGCATAACTCATTAGCATATGCCACACCCCCTGACATCACCGGAAGTGTGTCATAAGGCCACACCCCCTGACATCACCAGAGGTTTGTCATAAGGCCACACACCCCACCCCCAACGGTCCCGGCTGCCGGTGGCGGCCTTGCAGCTCCACTGCCGAGCCCCATGAGGGGCCCGACGGTGGACCTGCGAGGCCGGCAGGAGTGCAAGGAAGCCTCGCGAAGGCCCTCCCTGGCCCCAGGCAGGCAGGGGTGGGGAGAGGCAGGGAGGAAGCAACTTACCCTCCCTCTTCTGCTGCCTCCTCCTGGCTGAATGAGGGCCGGAAACGGGGCGGCCGGAAGCAGGGGGCAGGGCTTCATCATGTGCCCCGCCCCCGTACCTCACCCGGGGGAACTGCGATCCCCCGCGATCCCCCCCGAAATGACCTCTGAATATGCATGATATTCTGGAAATGACTAATAGGTGCTCCACCTGTGCCACATCCAAGAAAGATGGTACACATTGTAAAATCAAGATGTGTTATCCTATTAATCCCAAAAGCAATGATGAAGGGTGTAATAAAAGCAAAGTACGGTCATGTGTATTCTATAAGGACCCAGGAAAGGATGACCATTGTAATATTTTAAATGAAATTTGGAAACTGTTTATTGAATACTAGTATACTAAGGCACATAGATCAACTAATATTCAGCATACAATTAATTATTGTAACACTCTGCATTACATTATATACTAATGATGAATGCATGTTCAGTTTATTTTAGAACAATTATATATAATATAGTCAAATGTCAAAGTAATCTAATGAATAATTATGTTTGAATAGTTTTAATTTAACTACACCGATAAAAAAATATTACATGTGGCTTTTTTGGAGTGGGCAACAAAGTTTTGTGAGATTCTCCTTTTGCAAATTTAGATTATGTCAAAATATAATATCAGGATTCTTCCTTTGGTTTGGTGAAAATTCCTCCTGCACATTTCAAATCAAGGGGTATTAAATTTCTTACCTAAATCAATTTGAAGCCAACTCATTCTAAGTTGCGCAAAACATGTAAAGCAGGTGCTCTGTGCTAGCAAATTTCTCCCTGGAAGATGGACTCTTCCAAGGGTACTAAATGAAAGGGTCGTTTTGCATCACATAAGCAAATTTTACCAGCACAAGCGAGAAAGAGAGGAAAGAGTGACTGAAAGAAGGCTCCTGTATAGTTGTGTGTGTGTGTGAAATAAGTGCTGCTGCTCTGCACAAGTGAAGGAGCAGTGCATGTGTACTTGTGAGAGCTATTGTCATTTGTGCTGAGTGACATGTGACTGGGAGAGAGAGTTATGCAATCTATACCATTATGACTTCAGCTGTGGTGGGTGGAATGGCTTACCTCCTCAAGCAAACTGCTCCATAAGTATGTGAATTCAGAATTCTGCTAGGTGTACACCTGATATGCAGTGTTGTATCAACAGCAGTGGAGCAGAAGAAGAGAAGAAGAGATTGGATTTATACCCCGCCCTTCACTACCCAAAGGAGTCTCAGAGTGGCTTACAAACTCCTTTCCCTTCCCCTCCCCACAACAGACACCCTGTCAGGTAGGTGGGGCTGAGAGAGCTCTGACAAAAACTGCTCTTTTTCAAGAACAGCTGTGCCAGGACTATGGCTTGCCCAAGGTCATCCAGCAGGTGCAACTGGAGGAGTGGGGAATCAAACCCGGTTCTCTCAGATTAGAGTCCACACACTTAACCACTACACCAAACTGGCTCTCGAGTACTTTCTAGGTATATTGTAGACTGCTGTACCCTAGCTTTGCCCCCACCACCACCCTGCAGGAGTAATCTATTAATGATAATAATTAAAATGGCTATAATAGCCTTTTTCAGGCATTATATTTCAAGACATCCAACCATACAAAATTGGAGCAGGTGCTACCTGCAGTCTCCTGATGTAGGTTACCATTTAATCTGAATAGTACACTGTGCATTATGAATAGTGCCATATCCAGACAAAATGGTAGCATAGGATCACAAGTGGCACACACTCCAGGTTTGTACAGTTGAATACCCCAAAACATGATGTCAGAAAAATGCTATTGTGTCTATAATAACAAAGAAAATGCTATAATTCTCAGAGTTAATGTATCTGAAACGCTTTTCACACCTGCACAGTGCAGTTCAAATACTGCGCAATATAAAGATGCGCAATATAAAGATGCACAATCTTCACATGCGCAAATACTGCGCAATATAAAGATGCAGTCTTAGCTTGGTGCGGGGCAATTTACACCGGAAAATGGACTGAAGAGAAAGGGCTGAAATGCACCAGCAGCTACATGGTATAAAATTAAAAACCGTCTGTAAAAATAATTGTGGTGTGATATATAATGTATACTTCTGCAGTTACAGTGAAAACGCATTAGGAAATCCACTTGGGATGACCCAGGCTTCCTCCATATTAGCGTGGCACGGTGGGTTTTCCATTGGTTCCATTCAAAGGCCTAAAAGGAAGGGGAGAAAAGATGAAGGCACGCTGAGGACATGAACCGGTCAGGCCAACAGTGATAGGATTTCCTAGAGAAGCCAGTCATCCTCTCTTACTAAAAGCTAGAGTTATCTAACTATTTCCAAAGCCACCAGCACTTGAAGATTTGTGAGACTCATATAAATATGGAATGATAAGTTGGGGCCCACAAGGACTCATGGGGGCATCTCATTTCCCCTGTGTACCCCATCTCCACAATATTTTCTCTTCCCCTCCTTACAGCAGCCCCTGTAGCCTCTTCAGTTTCCATGCTTCCTTCTCTCTCCACCACCCCACCAACCAATCAACTTTTATCTCCTCTCCCTTCATCTTTCCTTCCTTCCCCCTGGCAGCCGCTCCCCTTTTCTTCCCTCTCACCCACTTAACTATATTTTTGGTTCTCCCTCCATCAAGCTTCTCCCTCTTCTTTCTCTTTTTCCTGCTTACTTCCTCTTTTCCATTTTTTACCTTTTTAGTCTTTCCTCACTCTCCCCCACCCCACTGCCTTTGCTTGAAAAAGCTAAAGTTTCAAAGGGTGACCAGTATAGTTGTAGTTGTTTAGCAACCCTAAAATGGCTGCCAAGTTCTCTAGTATAAACGTGTCTGAGCATTATGCCTCTCCAGTCCATTAGCTCTAATCCCAGGGGGTTTTGTTTGTTTGTTTTGAGGGGGGAAGAAAGAAACCTGACAGTGGTTACCCATACTGCTCATGGTCAAAGGCATCCGTTCCATACAGGCAAGTTACAGCAAGGGGGTTCACAGTTAATGATTAAATCTGATACCAGGATAAGTAAAACTGGATATTTGTGGGGATTTTTCTGCTATTAACCTCCCCTTGGCACCACCTGCTCCTGAACCAAATAGTTTTTAAAAATTAATTTTCATTATTTATGCCCAGTGTTCTCATATGATAGAAACAAAAATGAAGTAAGGATTTAATGGATAATAGTTATGGGGCAGAGCAGAAAATAATATGTCAGGAAAGGGGTTAACAGATTCAACTACCTGCAGGTGCCCCGCCTCGATTCCTTTACAGCCAATCATGACCAAAAGGACTTGCAAGTTTTCCTTTATATCTCCCCAACCAAAAGGGCTACCATCTTCTTTTACAAATGAAATCTGGGGATTCAGAGGAGGGCGTGACACATTTTGGAGGGGGCACTGCCCTTAAGTGTCCCCTGCAGTTACAAGATCTATCCTTACCCCTTTTCAGGGCCTGCTCTCACTTTATTGGGAACAGCCTGGGGGCAGTATAAAGGTTCAAAAGCATGGCCCCACAAGGCTGTTCTAGAAACAGTGTCTTCTGTGATGGGTGGAAGTGGGGGAGGAGAAATTTAAGACTGAAATGTGTTAGAGATGCTGAGGAATGGGCTGGATTTCTCTGTCCTTCCCCTGCTGCCAGACTTTTAGCCTCTGTGTGTGTGTCTTCACACACAAAGTCATACGTTCATGAGGCATCGCAGTGGAAAGGAACAATTTAGAAATCCTCTCCCCCAAACTATCCCTTCCTACATCTCTGAGCTTTCAGCAGGCTTTTATCTCTCACACATATCTCTTTTTCACCTTTACTTAAGATGTGGATACACTCAACATTCCTTGCCTCCTATAATGTATTCACAGCCCTCACCTGTCCATTGGGGGGGGGGTTCTCCCCATTTTCTTTTGTTTAATAAATGAAGTCATATTTTCTGCATATTTGGTGTAGGTAGAGGCCTCTTCATCTTGCCTGTTCGTAGTTCCACTGTTCAGCTATCTCAGGGGCCAGCCAGTTTGCTACTAGATGTAGGACAGATATCCCTCCCTCACATATACATTGGCTCAAGATTCATCAAGTTGTGTGTGTGTCATGCTCCAGTGTGAGGGGAAAAAATGAAAATCAGAGTAAGTCTACATGGATGGGAATGGCCTGTTTTTAAGAAACTATCTGGGGGAGTCTGAAAGATTGCCTCATTTCTCAAGTACTTTTTACCTATTCTTACTGAGGCTCTGTGGGATGGGGTAGCCTTCTTCTACCCACAGACCACTGAACATCAGTTTAGGTATTTGAGATTACATGTTAAACAAATTTAAACTCATTGAAGCCCACAGATTCGTATGGTTTTATGTAAGATGCATTTAAAATGGCAGAATCTGGAGTAGTTAAAATGCCAGACTAGGATCTGGGAGAGCCAGGTTTTGAATCCCTGCTCCACAATGGAAGCTCGCTGAGGAAACCTGGCCCAGGTTCTTTCTCTCATGACCTACCTCACAGGATTATTGTAAAGATAAAATGGAGGAAGGGAGAACGATGTTATATACTGCACCGGGTCCCCAGTGGGGAGAAAAGTGTGTCATAAATAATAATGGGAGTAATTGTCATTTGTTCAGTTCAGTGGGAGAAAGTGGCCAAAAGTTTCTTCTGCTTCTTTAAACTGGAGATGCTGGGGACTGAACCTGAGCCCTTCTGCATGCAAAGCAGATGCTCTACCATTGAACCACAGCCCTTCCCTTAACATTTCCTGGGAATACCAAAATTACCAGACAGCTTGGAGAAAAGACGACTGAGGGGTGACATGATCGAGGTTTATAAGATTATGCATGGGAAAGAGCAGGTAGAGAAAGAGGTACTTTTCTCCCTTTCTCACAATACAAGAACTCGTGGGCACTCCATGAAACTGCAGAGCGGTCGGGTTAGAACGGATAAAAGGAAGTACTTCTTCACCCAAAGAGTGATTAACACATGGAATTCACTGCCACAGGAAGTGGTGGCGGCTACAAGCATGGACAGCTTCAAAAGGGAATTAGATAAGCATATGGAGCAGAGGTCCATCAGTGGCTATTAGCCACAAGGTATAGCTAGGGGCTCTGGGGCAAGTGATGCTCTGTCTTCTTGGTCCTTGGGGGGGGGGTCAACAGTGGGAGGGCTTCTAATGTCCTGGTCCCACTGGTGGACCTCCTGATGGCACTGGTATTTCTGGCCACTGTGTGACACAGAGTGTTGGACTGGATGGGCCTTTGGCCTGATCCAACATTGGCATCTCTTATGTTCTTATGTCACCACTACAGCCCAATACATTCCAAGACTGACATTCTGTTCCATGCGAACTACAAGCTGTCATTAACAAAAAACTGCTTGAAAGAATCTTAGAAGCAATTTTTTTTCCTCTAGGGCAAATACACACTGTACTAGCACAAATGTGATTACAGTCTAATGTATTACAGTGCCATCTTAAACGTCTATGGAAGTCAATGAGCTAAGAAGGTTGTAATTCTGTTGAAGATGAGGACTGACTCTGGTAATATAGATTCCAGTTGTTTTGACATAACATTATATCAGTACTACCAAGCACTGCAGGAAGATGTGCTCATTCTAATTTTAGGGCCTGAGAGCAGGCAGCTTTGTGGTTTGTTGGTCATGGTGCTGGGGTGCAAGAGTAAACTAAATGGCAAGAAAGATGAGCTAAAGTGTTATGGGTACCATGAGAACTTCTTTTCCTTCTCATTCCAATTTGATGCCATCTTCTGACAATTCTTATAGAAATCCCACCAGATTTTTTTTTAATATCCTACTCTCAAAGTAGCTACTGAGCAGCAACAGTGACAAAAGACACTGCATGGGAAATTTACAGTGCAGTCCTCAACGGAATTACACCCTTCAAATCCCATTGACTTCGGTGGGCCTAGAAGGGTGTTGCTCTGTTTAGGACAGCATTGTTTCGAACTGTCCTGTAAATCAATGAGATTATATTGGATGAAATTCAGCCTTTAAAACTCACCTTTTACATTGGCATCTTCTTCTCCTCCTTCTTGGATCTTCAATTAACATTTGGGGAAAGAAAATAGCAAATCACTACATGTGCTCATTCTAATTTTAGGGCCTGAGAGCAGGCAGCTTTGTGGTTTGTTGGTCATGGTGCTGGGGTGCAAGAGTAAACTAAATGGCAAGAAAGATGAGCTAAAGTGTAATGGGTATCATAAGAACTTCTTTTCCTTCTCATTCCAGTTTGATGCCATCTTCTGAGAATTCTTATAGAAATCCCACCAGAATTTTTTTTGTAATATCCTACTCTCAAAGTAGCTACTGATTAAATGGCAAGAAAGATGAGCTAAAGTGTTATGGGTACCATGAGAACTTCTTTTCCTTCTCATTCCAATTTGATGCCATCTTCTGACAATTCTTATAGAAATCCCACCAGATTTTTTTTTAATATCCTACTCTCAAAGTAGCTACTGAGCAGCAACAGTGACAAAAGACACTGCATGGGAAATTTACAGTGCAGTCCTCAACGGAATTACACCCTTCAAATCCCATTGACTTCGGTGGGCCTAGAAGGGTGTTGCTCTGTTTAGGACAGCATTGTTTCGAACTGTCCTGTAAATCAATGAGATTATATTGGATGAAATTCAGCCTTTAAAACTCACCTTTTACATTGGCATCTTCTTCTCCTCCTTCTTGGATCTTCAATTAACATTTGGGGAAAGAAAATAGCAAATCACTTTCTTAGGACACGTGCCATTATAATGAAATACACCTATGTCAATATAACCTTTAAGTTTGTAAAATACATTATCAACTTTTTCACAAGCTCCACCCCCTCACCAGCCATCTGCCAGGCCTGAAAGGAAGTTGACTTACCACAGCACACTGTTATGGTGATCACCAAAGTTATCAAGAGAAGGAAGCAGCCACCAGACAAAGGCATCCAGATGTATGGTTCACAAGGGAGCATCAGACCATCATATGGAACTATGAAGGCAAGAACAGAGCAGACTGAACATGAAGTCTGGAGCTATTTATTTAGGGCTTTTCAAGTTAGCTAACCTTTCTCCAATTAGGGCCATCCTCACCTTTCTCATGTTAGCTAACCTTTCTCCAATTAGGGCCATAATATGACAAGCAACAGCATCTAAAAAATCTAAAAACAGCATCTAAAAAAAGCCAAGGCATGATCACAATTAATCTGATGCACAGGCATTTCAAATAATCAGCATTCCGAACCATAAGTAGCGTTTAGCCCTTGTAAACAAATCTGCTTTGCAGTACAGACATTTCAAATAATCAGCATTCAGAACCATAAGTGACGGTTAGCCCTTAAGTAAGGGTTAGCCCTTGTAAACAAATCTGCTTTGCATTATTTTCTCAAAGTGTAAAGAATGGTCATAACCCCAACAATTTCAAGGAGCCCATTCATTGGTGTTGGAGCCACTATCAAAAGACAAGCTCAGGAGGGAACAGTGACACTTTCAACCTGCCTGTTAGGTAAAAAGAAGATAAAAAGAAGTAATTGATCTCAGGATTAAAGAGGTCACATGAGGCTGGATCCAGCCACCTTTCTCAGCCTTGCTGTATTTATCTCCTTATTATAGCCCCTTTCTCATGCAGCTTTCGTCCATGCAAGACTGAGGAATCCAAGCATGTATTGGCCAAAGGAGAGAACTCTTCCCTCTCTCAAGACATGAAAAGACCCAAGGTTTTCCTAGTGCATTCCCCATCCTTAATGTTACTTTGTGTTCCACTGTCATAGAACTTGATCCTTGTATGCAGCATTTGGAACTAAGGAGCACAAATGCCACTTCTTGGATGCCAAAGCATGAGTGGCCAGAGAGGTCTGAATTTTTGCATTCCGTGGTTGGACAGCATGAAGATTTCCACATGTGCAACCATCCTTGGGCAAGTGGAAATGATAAAATTACTCCTCACTTTCTGCATGCATGAAGTGAAAGTGATTTGTCGCCAGTATATTTTCTGTTTGCGCAAGACAGAGCTTAAAGTATTTCTACTGATACAGTCTCAAAACCCAATGAAATAAAATTACACATTTTACATTGCATTGTTTCACATGCATGTAATTAATTTTATTAAAAACTGTATTGAAGTCCTATGAGTTGAATCCAGCCAGCTTTTTCACTCAATCTCGCCCATTTCATGTTTCAACTACAGTCCTCATTCCACATGGCTTTTGTTCGTGAAGGACCCATGACTTCAAACAGCCTTTTTGGGTACTGAGCATGGACCCCTCCTCTCTTTTCCACTAGCAGAAAAGCTGGTTGACTCCAACCCTATATTTTGCTGTACTCCTAGCTCAAGTGGAACTGCACTAAATATGTTTTCCTTTCCACTCTTGCATCACTGCATCCAACTTATAATATGTGTATCTGCATCAGTGATTTATATACATTACAAGAGATAAAGCAATGATCATTTATGACTGTATACAGATGATTCACATAATTTTTTCCTACAAGGAAATGATGCCAATGTAGGGAA